TTATTTATTCATATCATATCTGATAGCATGATAACAATACAATACAAATATATAAAATAAATAATAGAAATATATAAAATAAATTTATTTATCCTAATTTAAGTCAACTTTCAAGTTAAGAATCATTTCGGATACACTGATATCATATAGAAATATATTAAATAGTGTCTTACTCTAGTTAAAGTTCAGCATTTTCCAGCTAAGACTTGGTAAATATAATAATATACAAATAATATATGTATACTGATTTATATAATTTGATCTTCAAGTGAAGAATATTCATTTTTTATTTTATTAAGTTACATAAATCAATATGAGAATTTTTTAATGAATTTAAATTAAATTAATTTACAATTAAACAAAAGCTACGTTATTCACACAGTTGAATTGTTGTACCCAAAATTCAAATAAATTCAAGAAATATAACCTAAAGAAATGACTTGCTTCCTTTCAAACCGGTATACCCCACATTGCATTTGCAGGGTGGGCAAACACTTTTCCTAAAAATGATTTTTAATGCCGTCTGAATGAGTTTTTGCATATTGATCAAACTGCAAGCGAGCCGCGCCCATATCAGCCTCTGTGCATGTGGCCCAGTTCGGAGTTGCGTGGAGTTGGGGTTTGGCAGGTGGTTGGCTGGCTGACTGGCTGGCTGGCTGGCTTCTTGGAAATAATGGCAGCCCAATTGACGAGCAGCTGCTGCTGGCCGCGGATGCGAATGCCAGTCTGCCATAATGAGGTGAAAACATTATTTTTATTACCTAATTACCTCAATTTATTCGCGGTAATTGTGAGTGCTTCCCATACGCCGAGCGGCAACTGCTCCGCCAGGCCGTCTGCCAGAGCGCTGCCAGAATGGCTCTCGGCCCCCGTTCAGATATTATTACAATGTCTATAATGAGTGGGCTCCTCTTAAGTTGATCGCTGCCCCGAAGCAGGCTAAGTAAACGGATTTCCAATTCGCTTGCGTTTACAAATGAATTTTCCGTTGAATTTTCATTGCATTGCTACGAGCAATTTTCGTTTGTTGAGCTGAGCGACTGCAGTGTGAAAAACGCATTAATGAAGCCCTGCATTACATACACACAACTCATACACCTAATGACTGGGGACGCACTTGGAATGATCAGTGAATGCATTGCATAACCACCTCATAATGAGCTCATTTGCATAACTGCCGGGCGGGTTAATGGTGTTAATTAAATATGTTATGGCTGGCAAAGGGCTTCCCTCACTTACCAGTTCTTCTTAGCCAGAGCAGAAAAGAGTTTATAGCAAATAAAAATAAAGTGTTATAGGGCTGTACATTAAATTTTGACAGCAACTGTTGTGCCTAACTTTAGCTAAATTTAGTGTTACCCTTTGATTTTCAGATAAGCCATAATTCACGCAAACTTAGCTTCAACTAGACTCATCTAGCATTTGTAATATCAATCTATCAATCTATCTGTCATCATATATAGAATTTAATTTGTTTACTAATTACTGTTAAAATATGCATCTAATCTTAAGACCTCACTTATGCATAGATCTATAACTCAGCTCTGATTAATTTGCATTCCGTTTGGTATTCACAATTCGGAATATTTTGAAATGGAACTCACATAAATTACGAATTGATTTAGCATATTCAAACGTTGTCCAATCGTAGTTTAGACTTATTTATTTTCCGTATATAGACCAGAGTCGAAAATAAAGTTCTCATGGCAAACGCCTGCTACAGTTACCATTGGCGGACCCATTCAATATACCGTTCGGTGAGCGTGGCGCACTCATTGATAACTTCGGAGCACAAATATTATCATTGTAAATGCGCCGCCTCACGGTGGGGCGTTAATATCACGCTGTGCTCAGCGCCTTGCGGGGATGGGGAGACGATATGAGGTAGACTGGGAGACACAGCTTCATATTTGATTGGGTGCAGAGCGAGTGAGCGTCGCCGTCGCTGTCGCCGTCGCAGTCGACGCTTAACAAATGCGTGCAATCAGCGCAGGCGGCGCTCGGTCCATTAGGCCAGATATAAAGCTTAATTGCCGGGCCCGACAACGCGCAGCGGGCGTTCAATGTGACCAGGCTGTGATTATAATGTTGTTGTTGTTGCTGCTGTTGTTGTTGGCGCAACGGTTTGGCTTCGCCTGTTCGACCCTTGCCAAATGATTTGATTACGTTTTGATTAACGCGTTGCACTTTCCGCCGCGGTGCGTTTTGCATGCAGCACCACCTGTGGCTACCTGCTGCCGCATCAGGGCTAATTAATAAAGAGACGAGGGCGCCACAGCAACTGCCACGCCATCGGGAGTAGACATCGGCGACGGCGTTGGCGTCTCCGTCGACGTTGGCGTCAGCGTGGGCCACGTTGTAATTATATACGAGTAATTAATTGCAGAGACAATCGATTTGACATCCGAGATAAAAATACTCGGCTGCTGTACGAAATTTGCATGCGCATGACAATGCATTTATCACAACTGCAGTATAATTAATGCGACTACAATTTAATAATGTATTTGATTTGCAGCTAATAAAATGTCAATAGCTATTTGTACTTCCTCTCAAGGAAAAAATAAACTACTTTGCATAACTGACGTTAGTCTGTCTCCCCCAGGCAGCGATCACTCTCCAATAATAAATAAGCTGATGATGCCAAGGTATAATAATGTCGGAAATGCCCACTTTGTTATAATTCGTAATTAATGACAGTCTGAATAAAATGAAAATGCGAACGCATTTCGCTTATCAGCGCCAAACTGGCAAATAATATTTTAATTTATTTATTGAGCGCATGCGACTATAATATATATATATATGTGTGTGTGTGTGTGTCTGTTTGCATCTGTTAACAAATGGCAAAATAATATAAATCAAAAATCTCACAAGTTTTGACATATTTCGACTTGGACGCAGCGGCTGCCAACGGCGCGTTATTTCCATTTGTAATTAAATTAATTGGGGTTTAATTCAGAGCGATAACAGCAACAACAACAACGATTAACGCTCGCACATTGTCAACAAGAAAGAAATAAATAAATACATATAGCTAGAGCATGTGGCCCGCCGCTGCGAGTCTGTTATTGAACTCGTCTGACACTCGACAAATAGCAGAGAGTACAACAAAATTACAATTTAATAATCTTTCAATTCAATTCACTTGCTGCTGCATCTGCTGCTCAACAGCTAATGATGATCGTAATGATGATTGTTCTTAACTGTGCTTAACCTCCATAAATAAATGAATATATATGTGTATATATATTATATATGTATGTGTGCCTGATTCGAGCTGTGTTGGCAGTAAACAAGAGTAAGCATACGCCGTGTGCGCCGATCGCAGCGTCTCCCTCTCTCGCGCCCTCCACTGATTAATTAAATATTAATTGATCGACGATAAGCACGCGCTGGCGCTTTTGCATTTCGCACTTAGCTAGACGATTGTGAAATTCGACCGATTGATTGCCCGCACTTCAACAGCATCAAACAAAATAAACAACCTGGAATTTTATAGATTTTTTTTATGTATAAACACACACACACATATATGTATATATAATTATATATAAATGTATAAGCAGCTAGCAACAAGACTTTAGATTGTATTATATAATAAGTTATAAAGCCCGTGTAGAGTCTGTTTCAAGTGTTAACTGTTATGGCACCTGATGTCGTAATGGATTTTCTAGACTTGAATGAAACAATTTCATTTTTATTTAATGAATTTTTTTTAAATTAACATTTTCTGCCCCCATTTATTTAGCACAAGTGCTTTTCGACTGCTACAAACATATATATGTCGGGGCATTTATATATACATTTATAATCTACCTCTATAATATTGGAAATTTTTGACTTACGTTAGACTTGTACATATGTAAAAGCTAAAGAGGAGCGACAAGTTGGCATTTAATTAAGGCTGCAAGTCGCAACTGCTCCTAGTTAATCAGTGTCTATCACCGATCAAGGCTGTCCAGCTAGAGCACGATCAAATGACTCACTTGAGCCTCACGTATTTAAGCAGTGAAATTCATGTCTCAGCCTAAAACTGCTCTTAGCAATGTTTTAGCACATATCTGAAAATTTCTATTAACTCTATGTGATATCATCCTATCATCATTTCTACTCACATATTAAAAGTCTATCAATTCATTCCTCGAATAATTATAAATAGTCTATATATACAATCTGAATCATTAGCCGAATTCAAGTCAAGTCAGATTCACTCATTGTAAACAGCAAAAAATATCGAATAAATTGTAAAAACAATGAACATAAAATAAACAATTTCATGAAAATTGTGTTGAACTCTTGACATTAATTAAAAAAAAATATTCGCATTAAATTTTTTTCCGTAAAATTTTGTCCGATTTAGACAAAAAAATAAATAAATTCAGGGAAACTTAGTTGAATTCTTGAGATAGATTAAACACAATTTCCCATAAAAAAGGTCCTATCAAAAAATAGATTCTGGAAAATTGTGCTAAGCTCTTCACATTAATTAAAAACAAATTCGCTTTAAATTTTTTCGTATAATTATATATTTGTCCATTGATTTTTTTTTTTTGAGTTTTTTTTTTTTCTTTTTGGATTTGTTTTTTTTTTTTCAATGAGGGGATTTTGTTTTGTAATGAGTTAAGTGTAAACAACTACGTAGGATTAACACTAAATGGTAGCATTTCGTATGAATGTATGAGCTATGTATATAGGGCTGCGTATTATAATAGGTTTAATGTATAGTTAACGGTATAGTTAGAGCCGTTTAGCTAGGTTCCTTAAAGGTATTTTTTAAATACATGCGTTCTTTTAACTAGTCTTAGTATAATGCAAAGTACAATACAATCAAATATCATTTACGGCTTAAGTTTGCGTCGACTTTGTTTCTATTTATATATATATGTATATATGTATATATATTTATTGACTTGAAATTTACAAATAAATTATTCTCTCTCTCATTTAATTTTTTTTTCTTATTTTTTTTATTTTATTTTTAATTTTTTTTTCAAAAGTGTTTTTAGTTTTTGTTTTTACAGTTGACATTTAACAAACAGCAAATACTTCAAAACGCAAATTGGCTCTTAAGAATTCGTGATTGGGTTACTCGCTAGATCTCTATGTACAATTAGGAAACATTGCGGCTTTTGCTTTTCTCTCTATGGTATATATACAGAGTTCGGTGTGGGAGCTCTTGTCGTCGTTCATTCTCTATGCTTACAGTATTTACAGAGTGCATTTTACAGAAAACATTTGGAAGTATCGTAAATAAAATGCGCTAACATCACAGCAAAATTTTGGGGGTTTTCGAAGCGAGTCGCAGCGGCGGCTGGCGGCTGGCGGCTGGGCGTGGCTCAGTTATTTGGTTGTCAATCCGGCTGGTCGAGCGACTGCGGCTGGTGCGCCAGCTATCTATGAGCGCACACCAACTTGGCCGCCACTTATCCCAGGTGCATCAGGCTCGGATGGAAGTAGCCGGCCATGGCCCATTGGGCGCCCGGAGCGCCGCGTCCCAGCGCCGCCATTTTGATCTTCTCGATTTCCGCTTCCTGCAGCCGCTTGGCCTTGGCGCGTCGATTCTGAAACCAGATCTTCACCTGCGTCTCGGTGAGCCGCAGCGACGACGAGAACTCGGCGCGCTCCGCTATGCTCAGGTACTGCTTCTCCCGGAACTTCTTCTCCAGCGAGAGCAGCTGCTGTGTGGTGAAGGGGGTGCGCGGCTTGCGGTTCGGCTTGTGTTTGCGCAGATTGCATTTGATACGAGGCGGTTCATTGGCATCTAAAAGAGAGAGAGCGAGAGAGAGAGAGCGTTGATTAGTCGAATGTTAACATAGGTAAATCTAGTTGTAATTGCTTAGCTAGGTGTGCGAGAGAGAGGGGGGTGGGGGGCAGTGTGAGTGAGGCAAGTGTTGACGTCAGTTGCCGGGCCCAATTAAAAGCAAAACAGAATCCGCAGCATTTGCATACAATTGAAGCGCTGAATGAGCTGCTGTCAGCAGGCGCTGTCCGTCTGCGGCTGTCCTTGGCCTTGTCATGGCTAAAAGCGGCGGCAGCAGCAGCAACAAGCCGACAACGGCAACGTCTACAGCAAACGGTAATTACTCCTTTAAGTGGCCAATAAATTTGCTGTCTAAACTATTTGTCAGACAAAGCAGCAGCCGCAGCAGTCGCCGCAGTCGCCGCAGTCGCAGCAGTCGCCGCAGTCGACGGGAAATGCAATGTCCCCAGTTCGATTCTCTCTCGGCTGCAAAACAATTTTAATTTGGGCATTTTGTTTTGGCAAACAAAGACCGGCTGGGCAGCAGCAGCAGCAGCAGCAGAGGCAGAGTCAAGAAGAAGAAGACAAAGCAGCGAATGCAAAAAGGAAGAGGAGAAAAAACGTGCATGCCTTATAAAGCGATCGCATGGAGCTGGAGCACTGTGCGGGGCTGGCTGGGCACACAGGGCAACCAGCAATGCAGCAGCTGCCCCGAGCATCGTGCGCCTGTGGCATCCACTCGGAGTGTTGTTAATGAAAGTAATGAGCCTGCCATTGGGGCCTGCCAGCGCCAAGCCACAAAGATGCAAATGGCATTTTAAAGATGCATCCCCGGGTCAGCTCAGCCTCTGCATCAGCTACTTTATGTATAGCCAAGCCATATGTAACCCGTCCCCCATCCCCCCATTCGCTCATCTGGCAGGCGCAGGCACGCGTAATTTATGGAGCATTTTGTTGTGCGGGGCAGGCATCAAAATAAAGGAGCGGCCAAATGGGATGCAACGCTTTAATTTTATGCATAATTACACGAATTCAAATTGTTGAGTGACAAACCGAAAATTGTTGTCAGCTTCTTCTTCTTCATCATCATCATCTACTGGTTTTTTGTTTTTTTTTTTTGGCGCATTGTAATTGATTTTATGCTCCGTTGACTGGCTGCCTGCCCAAATGAGGCGTTAAACAACAAAACAAAAATTAGTTAACAGATGGAGCAACTCTACAAATGGCAAATGCTGCTGCTGTTGCTGCTGTTGCTGCTGCTGCAACTGGCAGATTCCCAGCCGACAACATGTCTGCCACATACCAAGACTTGATGTCTGTGTTCACACACACATTTTGTGTCACGTTATGTTATCAATAAACAAATAAATGTCAAAGCTGCCTGTCCATAAAAAAAAAAAACAGAAAACAGAAAACAGACCAAGCCAGCAAGCTCAGCTCGTTTGATCGCCGAGTTTAGCTTCGCTTCACCTCTGGCTCTGTCACAATGAAACCAATAATGCCACAGTGGACATTGGCATCTGCATCTGCATCTGGCAGTGGACTGGCCGGGGCTGATCAGCTCATTAAGTAATTAGTGTGACATGTCAGAGTTATGTTAATGCGGCAAGCTCGATCGTACAGATTGCGGGCCTTATCGGCCGACTGCTGCGCCCTGCTGACCGCTGACTGGCTCGCATATACATATATTTATATGCATATTATTTAATTTGTTTGTGTGTATGTGTGTGTTGAATGCAGTTGGGCAGAAGCGTTTTGTATGGCCTAACAAGGTGAAACGAAATGTGAAAAGCCCAGATAATAATATTGATAATCATTACAATAACAATCATGATGATGTTGCTGTTGCGCTGAGGATGCGCCTCAGCAGCAGCGAGAAATTTGTTACAGACTTGAAGACGCGGGCGCATGCATCTATAAATACACATACAAATATATTGTATATATTTCGTGTTTCTTTTCGTTCAAACTTGCATTTCTGATTTTTTTTTTCTTTCTTTTTCTTTTTATTATCATTATTATTTCTGTTTTGTTTTTATTGTTGTCGCTCTTGTTGTGATGGCCATAAATTAGTGGGCAAATTAGCATATAAACGATGCGGTCAACTTTTACAGCTCTGCCTCTGCCTTTGTCACATCTCGTTGTACATATATTATCTGGTTCTTGGCCATAATTATTTGGACACAGTCCACGCCACTGTGTGCGCGCGTGTGTGTGTGTGTGTGTATCTATCGGGCACCATTCGCAATTAACACCAGGCTGCATCGTAAATATGTTTGTACAAATGCGCATTCGACTTCGATTGAATTCCACGTTTTTCTAAAACCGTTTTGCGCTTTGCATTTATTTCAAAATTAATTGCTCATTTGTCGCTAAATTGCTGGAATGGGGTTTCGGTTTCCATTGCTGGCCAAAAGCACACAAAAAACTATAGCAAGTGGAATGGCTGCGTCCGTCACCAGAGCACCACCACCGCACCACCGCACCGCTGCACCGCTCGGTGCACGGATCAACTTAACCAATCGCTTGGCCCGCCGCCTGTTGCACAAATAACCTGCAACAGATCCAATACAGACTGGCATGAGGGGAGCGGGGAGAGAGGGGAGTGGGGAGCGAGAGGGAGGCAGGCTGGAGACGAAGACGGCCACGCACGTTCAAACCAGAGTGCGAGACTTGTTTGTGCTTTTATAGGCATTGTTGTTGCCATTGTTGTTGCTGCTGCTGCTGCTGGCTGTTGCTGTTGCTGTTGCTGGGGCAATACGTCGCCAGCGTCGCCATTGCCAGAGCCAGAGCGAGAGCCAGAGCAAGTACATGCCACAAACGCCAATTGTGACATTTAGCCTATGTTTGTAATGGATTTTCAATTAATTTGAGTTCTCCGGTGTATTGTAGACGACGACATATAAGACTCGATCAGCAACAGCAACAACAGCAGCAACTACAACAGCAACAACAAACACAAACAAGCAGCAATTGTGAAATTTACGCGTATCGATCGCATAGGCAATCGCCCATAGAGGCCTCTATGGCAATTCGTAGGCCTATCGGGTCGGAGCGATACGACGACGACGACGACGAATCGACAACGGTGACAACGGTGGATTGATTTGCGCTGCAAATTGCTGGCAATTAATTCTTCATTAAAGCGTTTTCGCATAGCCAAATAGGCAGCAGCAGCAGCAGCAGCAGCGAGCAGGTGGGGCAGGTGGGACAACTGGGCTTTTGTAGTGAAAAGCATTTTGCAATCGATTGGAGCAAAAGCGAGACGAACGTTTGGCTAATGCAATTACACGCTTACGGTCAAACGAGCACTGCTATGGGGAGCCCATGCCAATCCCGGCGTAGCTGTTGCCGCTGCCGCTGATTGCTGATTGGGGCTGCTGATTTCATAATGAAGGATTTTAATTAGCACCAAATAAGTAGGCGAATGAGGTGCGCAAAGTGCCAAATGAGTTGCATGTGGGGGAGAGTAATGTGATTAAGGAAAAATAAAGGCTGATAAACACTTGAGATCTCATTTGGGCAACAGATGATGAAACACATATATAAATATATGTATGTATATAGAGCTGTGATGGGAGAGTCTTATAGAGTAACATCTTCAATAAAGATGTCTTGCCTGGCAAAGGGAATAAATGAATCTAGATGAAGCAAAACTTGCTCTTTTTTTAGTGGGTTTCTAGGTGCGTTGTTCTAATATGTAAACCCGATTGCCACGCAGGCGAGGGGCGTGCATGAGAACCGGCCCATTAGAGCCTATTAATTAGCAAAGAGCGTGTTAAAACCGGCTGCCATAGATAAGTTAGCAGCGGCAGCCGCTGGCCGCGATCAGTGGACAAATCTTGTCGCCTCGCATGTTTCGCAGTTGGAATGTGTTGTCCCAGTGGCAATGAAGTGCATATTTTAATCACCAATGGCTGCCTCTGTGCAAGATAAGCGGCGATAACGAGGCCGCTGTCCGCCACTTGAAAGCAGGAGGAGGAGCAGGGCGCAGGAGACAGAGAGAGAGGGAGAGCAGTTTACATGTGGGTTGGGCACGCAGTTTCAGGCTGAGGCTGAGACTGTTTGCTGCCCACCTGCTGGCAAGTTCAAGTGCTAGAACTCTCTTTTAATTACTCAGCTGTACACACACACACTCACACACACACACACATACACGCGCATGCACATTCTGAAAGGCGTGCACACACACACAGAGACAGACATACAGTGCCTCAAATTAGTTAAAGTACCAATTGTCTACAAACATTTAGCAAATGTTTGCCGTTGTCTAAATTTACACACACACGCACACGCGCACACATACACAGATGAAATGGTAGCAACACCTTGTGGCACCAATGCAAGTCATTGGCAACAGCTCAGCGCCCCTTGGCCTCGCCCCTGCCCCTCTCTGCCGCTCCCCTTTCGTCAGCTACTGCTGCTGTTGCTTTTGTCTGCCTGGTAATTTAATGCAAATAAATTTTATTTACCAAAACATACATCAAAATGTCTGCGCCAGCACACCTCAACACAGCCCCCGTCCCCCTCTAGTGCCTGCCCCCCCTTTGAGCACACTTGTATTGCATGCAGCTATGCTGTGTGTGTGTGTGTATTTAGTACAGCTCATGCACGTTAGATGGCGTGCTGAATGCAAATATTATTTTAGCTTTTGGCGTCTTCGCTGCGGCCTCTGGCGAATGGTGTTAAAACGCATGCAAAAAGGTAACCGTCCTCTGCTAATCCCCCCCTCCCGCCTCCCGCCTCCTCTGTCGGGCTCTCCACTTGCCCAGCAGCCGTCGGCTGTCGCCGTCTGTCAACGTTTAAATTGCTGCCTGGCTGCAAATAAAAATTGCGTGCTTAGGTGGGCGTAGCTGACATGCCACACCTACCAGCTTCGCCAGTTGCTGTGCCACTATCGCGCTCTCTCTCTCACACACACACAGCAACTGTGTGTATTCGCTGGCTGGGCTGTTTGTATTTATGCAATGACTCCCAAGTTGTTGCTCGTTTGTTCAGCTTGAAAATTAATTTCTATAATGGCTGCCAAGAATTGCAGCTGCATTGGCCGCCTGCCGGCCACCTGTCCGCCACCCCCTGGGCTAGCCGGGGACTGGCCGCCCCATAAGGTACGTGACGTGCCTGCGCTTTGCAATTAGTTAAATTATGGAGCTCCGTCGCAGGCATTTTAACTGCCTGTGAATGTAAATCAATTGCGAGGGCCCAGCGCAAAAGCATAAGGCCATGACGAGCGTCGGCCGGCGGAGGGCACACAACCTCAGACCAAGCGAGCCAGACTCAATATCGAAATCGAGTGAAGTTTCACCTGTGTTTGCTTTGTGCTCCTGTGTGTTCCCTAATCGCAGCCCATTTAAGATGCCAGCCTGCGGTATTTTCAGTTAATTGAATGGGCCATGAAACAAACATGAAACTAGCGCCGCTGATAAAGCCCGCTGCCAGAGCAGCCGGAGATGGCTACCGTTCGACCTGGCCGACACACAGATACACCGATACACCGATGATACACAGCTACATAGCCCTGAGGCACTAAGTACCTAACACTTGACATAATGCGGCGACAGATAGCGGCACAGGTCACACGAATCGTCGACAATAAGATATAGGGAGTGGTGAGCAAGAGAGAGAGAGAGAGAGAGAGAGAGATAAAGAGAGAGAGAGATAGAGAGAGGGCTAACAAAGGCTACAACCTGCTGCGCTAATGAGACCTGCTGAGGATGGGTCGAAGTCAGGAACATAAAAACAGCTGCCAAAATGAAACGAAATAAAGTTGTACAAAACTGAAGTGTGTATGTGTGTGTGTGTGCGTGCGTGTGTGTGTGTGCGTGTGTGTGCTACAGTTGACAGCAAATGACAAAATAAGCGGCAAATGTTTGAAATAAATTTATTTTTTTTGTTATTTTATTCTTATTGTTGTTGTTGTTGTTGCTGTTGTCGCCTGTCAGTTTAAAGACAATTTGAATCAAGTGTGGATAGCAGATTGACAAAAGGTCTAAGCGCTCAAGAAACAAAAAAATAATCAGACTATAAAATTACAATAGGCATTAAATAATTAAAGGAACTGCCTGGAAATAATTTATATAATATAAATTAAATATATAGTATATTTATAAAATGGAAAATAGAAAAATAAAAATAAATAAAATAAAAATTATATTATCATTAACTAATCAAATGAATTGTGCACAAGTCTCTATAATATTTTATAAAATTATTTTATTTAATTTTTAAAAAACTTTGATGACTACAAAAATTTTGCAAAAGTCCCTAAAGTGTTAAAAGCTTTTTGTAGAATTATTTTATAACAAATTTCATGACTACATTGCAATAACTTTTTAGCATCTCCAATCAGACTGGAGTTAATTTAAATATTATTATGCATATAAAGTTTTATTTCAAGCATTATGAAATTCATTTTGTAAAGTTGTTTTTTCATTTTATTACAGCTCCCAGAGTGTGTGCGTGTGTGAATTCTTCAAGTGCTACGCCTGTTATATAACTGGCTGGGAAACAGCTGTCGAGCACATGAAATAGCTTTAATTTCTTGGTTAATTTACTCTAATGATTTCTAATTTTTGCTTCATAGCCTTAAATACCCTTTGCGAGAGGTATTTTAGGGCAGCTGCATTCATATGTTAATTGTTATTGAAGTAATTTGTGCTGAGCCCCAGAAGCTTGCACCAAAACACACACAAAAAATGAGCAAAGAAAACCCTATATGAAAACCTGAATGTGGCGCCTCTCCTGGGCGTCTGCCCCCTTGACAGGTTTATAAAACAATGCAGCAGGAGGCAAAAAACCCGCTGCCTGTTATTGTTATTGCGGAGCGGAAATGCAAAGTTCGCGTTGGGTTTTTCTTTTTTTCTTTTTCTGTTTGTTTTTTTTTTCTTCTTTGCCCCAAGCGTGTAAAGTTCACATGTCTGTCAGCCGTCGGAGTTTTTGTGTCCTGGCTGCTGGCGCTGGACTGCAGCAAGGTGTGACCAATGGCGTTGCAAGTGTTGCAAGTGCTGCCAGCGCCTGGCCACTTTTTGTCTGATGCCGGAAAATGCAAGAAAAGTGTGAACTGTGCATGCAGATACAAATCGGCCCAGCCTTTGCCAGACTCGCTTCAATTAGTCGGGACAGACAGTTCAGTTCCCTATCTAACTATATACGCACACACACACACACACACATATATATATATATATTCACATAAAAACATATCTGGACTCTAAGTGCGACTTGTGCCTGGGGGGCTGACATGGACCGGAAAACACACACACACACCCATCAAATGTAAATAATATATATGAAAATTGTAATAAAAACAAAAAGTGACAACGCCAAAGCAATGAATAAGCAGACGAGCCAATTGAGTTAAATCAAAACCGACGCGACAACAGCAACAACAACGACAACAACAACAACAACAACAGCAATATATGATAATAATAATTTTGTGGATGATACGAGTAAATGGTCAGCGCAATCAAAAACATTTCATTGTTTCATTTACAGCGAGAGAATAATTGCCACGCACTTTGACTACCAGACAGCAGACGAGGCAACAGCAGGAGCCGGCAGAGGGGCAGAGGGGGAGAATGCAGCGCCCGCAGCATCGATGGCACCCGTTGGCAGCCATTGTCGTTGGTGCCAATTAAGGCGCGGGTCGATTTAATTCAATTAAACTATGTGCGCACACACAGTGAGTGAAAGAGAGAGAGAGAGAGAGAGAGAGAGAGAGAGAGAGAGAGAGAGAGAGCGATGGACAGAGACAAAATGGAGTAAGCTGACCATAAAATGACAACTATTAATACCAACAAAATATTAACTGGGATGATCAGTGTATATAAAGCGAGCTAAGCAACAGCTCTCGATTATCTCCATAAATTACAGCTATAATGCAAAACAAGGTACAACATAATTAGCACCTGTCTGACGCGTGCTACACCCAACATGAAATATAACATATCTAAAGAACTGCTTTGAGAATTCTCTGCTTTTTCAGGAAGAGCCCTAAGTTGAAGTTTTCTCTTTTGACAATCTTAACTTTATATTATAATATATTTTATTATTTTTTTTTCTATAGAATAGAGATTATAGAACTATTCCTTTCTCATATCTAAAGAACTGCCTGAAGAATTATTTCCGTTTTCATAGTCCTAATATAACTTGGAATTTTCTATTTCGACAACCTAAAATAAAAAACTTTTTTTAAAGGTTTTTTTCCCATAGATTAGATATATAAAAACTTTACTTTCATATAAAAATAACAACCGAGCCCTAAGTATTTTTTGGCCAGTCTCAACTTTATATTTAAAAATAAATATTTTTTCATTTATCTATTTATAGTTTTGCTCAATTGACACTTACCTCCACCAAATCCTTGTCCTGGAAACAGACCCGGTGGGCCGAAGGGCGGCATTTGACGCGCGCCCGGCCATGGCACTCCGCCGCCCATGCCGCCCCAAGCGACGGCAGCGGCGGCCAAGGCGCTGAACGGCGTTGGCCGTATGGGCACATGACCGCTGGCCGCCAGGGCGGCGGGCGAGAGAATCGTGGAGGGCATGTGGCTGGAGCCAACGCCTGAGCCGGGCGGTCCGCCGTGCGAGCCTTCGAGGGATTTGCTGCTGCTGTCGAGGCCGTCGGGCGTGGAGCGCGGCGAGTCGTCGGCATTCATGTCCTCAATGTCCACAATGGAGTCCTCCTCCTCATCGTGCTCCACATCGTGCTCGTGCAGCATGTCCTCGTCGTACTCCAGCTCCGAGTCCGTATGGCTGCTGCCGCCCAGCGGCGAGTGTCTCTCGTTCTTGGCAGGTGTGGAGCTGATGCCGCCCGCGTGAGCCACGGGCGTCGAGCTGGGCGTGGAGCTGGCGGAGGCTGAAGCGGGCGGAGAGCTGGCGCGTGCATCGGCCTGCGCCTGACGCAGTTGCGCCATGGCCAGCTGCTGCTGTTGCTGCTGATGCTGTTGCTGCTGGGCGTGCGCTGCCGCCGCCGCATGGGCGGCATGCAGCAAGTGGGCGTGGTGCGCAACAGCGGCGGGATGAAATGCATGCGTGGGCGGCACTGCTGGCGGAGCTGCTGGCGGCGGCGTGCCCGCAGCGCTGCTCTGAGAGATGGGCGATGTGGCTGCTGAGCTGGACAGATTCGTTGGTCCATCGCTGGTGTTGGGCGTGCGTGGCCGGGTGTCCGCCAGCAGCGAGGCTACGCTGAAGTTGCTCAGCCTGGAGCTGCTCTTGTGAAGATGATGTGGCGCCGGATGCACTGCAGCCAACTGCAGTGCCTGTTGTTGCTGCTGCTGTTGTTGTTGCTGTTGTTGCTGTTGCTGCTGTTGCTGCTGCTGCTGCTGCTGTTGGTGCTGGGCCAGCAGATGCTGCTGATGGGCCAGCAGCAGGGCCGACGGCGATGTTGGACTGGCCAGCGGATGCAGTGCACCAGTGCCGGCGGCGGCAACGGCGACGGCGTTTGTCAGCGTGTTGCTCAGGCTGGTGGTGCTGCTGCTGCCGGAGCTGCTGAGCGTTGTGGTTGGCGGCACCGTCGGGCTGGTCATCGTTTGGCGTAGACCAGTCACTGTCATGCTCCTGTTCCTGTTCGTGCTCCTGGTCGTTGCTGCGCTCGATGCGTTCACGTTTGCCGTGTTGTTGGACAGCTTTAACATAAAGCCAGCTACTGGATTCACTGGGCGATCTCTTTCACAATTGATTGAGTGTAATTGTTGTTAATTGTAATTGTTGCTCTTGTTGTTGTTCTAGTTACTGTTGTTGTTGTTGCTTTAGATTAAAACATTCATTGCACTGGCGAGGGAGGTGCGCGCGAGTTCAAATTGGCACTTGACGGGTCGCTCAGTAGAAAATATATGTGTCGTTAATTTGTTTTGATTATCTTTTAATTAATTCGCTCGTTCATCACAAAAACACTCACTAATACACGAGCACACACACACACGCACAGATGCACACGCACGCACGCGGCTTGCTCATTTGCTGTAGTATGTGGCGTTTAATTCACGGCGGCTCTGAGACTCGAGAGAAACACGTCCTCTTGAGATCACGTCTGTTCTACAACTGAACGTAGACGGCGGCGCAGCGACAGCTCTGCTGCTACTGCTGCTTCAACAAACACGCACACACACACACACACACACATGCATGCACAGCCGCATATGGGAAACCTGCTCGTTGCTGCCGTCGTCGTGGTGGTGGTGGTGGCTGATAAACCGGCCTGCCGCAGCCCTGTTGCTCTCTCGCTTGCACGCACTGCTCAAGCGAATGCAGCGACACCATTTTTATTGGCCTGACTGTTTCGGTTATGCTCTCTCTCGCAGCGCTCTATTCAATTTTTTGTTGTTCTTATTTGCCTTTTGTTGTATTTCTTGCGCCGCCTTCTTTTCTGCCGCCGTTCATTCCAGTGTGGTGAGTTTTGTGTTGGACGCGCAAGCGAGACGGCAGCATTGTTCGCCGCTGTTTGCCCCACACGCGCTGTCCCGCTCGCACGCCTAATTATTATTGAATAATTCAATCTTCAAAGCGTTTTTGCTGCGCGTATTAGCATTTTATAACAAGCAGCCGTCGCTGCCGTCGCTCGTTCGTTTCCACTTTTGAATTTTTTTTTTTGCTGCTGCTGCTCTCGCTCGCTCGCTCCCTGTCGCTCTCTCTCTCTCTCTCTCTCTCTCTGCAGCCCTCCCCCGTGAAGCGCCGTCTCGCTCAGACACGTCACAGCTTCCACATTCATGACTTCATTTGCCTGCCGCTTTGCCGCTTCTTATTAAATTCTGCTGTCAACGTAATTGGCGGCCGCGTCGTCGCGCTGTCTGCTTACGTTTTGGAGTCTTTCGGTCTTTGGAGCAAAGGGAAAATTTAATTGGTGCTCCAGGCGGGCGCACTTGGCGTATGTGCAATGCGGCCATAGCTCAGCGATTACCAACAGAGGGCCAACGCATAAATAATAAACAATAAGCCCATCATTATGATGAAAGGCGAATTCATTGACGTCGGCATCTTATCACAAAGCTGCAATCTCTACCAGGAAATTATGTTTTTTATGCCGAAAAGAATCCTGGCCGACCGAAAAAAAAAAACAGAAATGAAAAGAAATCGAAAAGACGCAACGACACAAAACGAAGCAATGTTTATGCCTATGGCGCACACCTCAAAGATAAACCATAAAATTCTTATCGTTACGCATAAATCGACTAGCCAGCATGGCAAATCAATCACACGTAAATCTGAAATATGCAGCATCCCGAAATAAACAACGAATCCTCCGCCCCCTAACACGACCCGTCATCTACTCCAATAAGCGACAACAAAGGGATGCCCAGGATAAGCCAAACTTTGGGGTTCATTATATATATATGTGTGTATATACTTTATAAATGGCACAAAAGGCAGTTCTCTTCCTGTCCTGCTCGCTCTCACTGCCATTCACATCGCCAGCTCGCTTGCTCTCCCTTTTGTGTTTGTGTCCTTCTCTGTCTCTGTCCCTGTTCTGTCTGTCTCTGGTTATAATTTTACTTTACAAATTAAACTCATTTTAAGGATTATTATGCGAAAATTGTTGGCTCCCAAGTTTTGCCCGGCCATTGTTGCCACGCTTTCTCGCTGGGGATCCACCAGGGTTGCTTTCGGCTGCTTAATGACGGGCGAAAGTTGGCAGTTTGTTGGCTCGTAAGTATATTTAATGAAGCTGCTGTTGGCGCATAATAAACTTAATTAGAGCAGCTTAATAAACAAGTTAAGCAGAAAAATCCTTTCATTCGCAATATTCGTGCTTAATTGCCGATGGAGCAGGATAGTGTGGGATGTTCAGATATTCTTTATACACATACAAATATTTCTTATAAAGAATTAACTTATATGAATAAAAACTAAAATAAAATATTGTAGAAGTATTAAATAATAATAAAAAAAAATAATAAATAAATAAAATAATATAAAAAAATTCTTATAAATAATTATCTTACTTGAATAAAAAATAAAATAAAATATTGTAGAAATATTAAAAAATAATAAAAATTATATAAGATAATTCTTATAAAGAATTATCTTATTTGAAAAAAAAAAATTAATTAAAATATTGTAGAAATATATTCAAACAAAATATACATATAGAAAATAGATTGTTTCGTTTTATAAATAAATATATGCCTTATATATATATTTAAAAAATATTTGTTGAAGAATTTCAAATATTTGACTACTAATTTAAATGGGAAATTTAATGGGTGAAGAACAAAATATTTCAAAGCACATGAATTTGTCACAGCTCTCGATATTTGCTATAGCCGGACACGTGCTGCATAAATAATTCTGAAATAGCTTAATCCATAGTATAATTTCTGGCATTTTCATGTTTCACAAGAAATTCGAACTGAATATTCCAATATTTCAATACATATCTAAATTTTGAACTCTATTCGATTGCCAAGCGCACTCCGTTTTCCCAGCACCCTCTGCTGGCTGATTAACTCATTTTTCCATTGTCCGTTAGGCGCTTCATTAAGAGGCAAGAAGAGCGCTTTCTTTTCAATTAAAACTATTGAAATAACAAGAGGCAAGTGCGAGGCATCATTAATGTGGCCGATCGTGCAATCGCCTCTCTGTGTAGTTGGCCGTTGGCACGAACAATTATAGCCAATTACAAATATTAATTTCTCAGACGAAACGCGTCAAGAGTTTTTATAATCTTCATCATTATTCATAGCGCTCTTTGAAATACGCAAATGAGACCCGCAGCCAAAGCGAGGCGCAAATTAATATTTCAATAAACATCATAATCATATACTACTTATGGGCCGACCGAGCTCTACGCTCCACGCTCTACGCCTGCCCCTCGACACCCCCGCGCGCGTATGCTTCGACGCGACGCCTCCAATCGCATTCAACGCACTCAAAGCTTTTTCTCTGCCGGCCAAAGATGAAAAGAGGCCGGCAGCGCAGAACGACTGCCAGTCGGCCAGATACAACACCACAGCAACAACAACAGCAACAACAACTTGGTCAGTTGATAAATGGCCGTAGCGTTGGCCGCGCGTTGCCGCCGCATGTAAATGTTTTGATAGTTTTTCATAATTTTTATAATTTTTCCTTCAATTTTGTAGCTTGTTTGGTTGGCTGCTATTTGTGTTTGATTTTGTTAGCCGCGCGCCCACTTAGCCAAAGGCTCAGCGGTTGAAGGGCGGAGAAGCAGCAGGCGGAGATCCAATTGCAATTTGCTGTGCGCGTGTGCGTGTGTGTGTGTGGGTGTGGGTGTGGGTGTTGCACATTTATGTGGGCAGTTAGCTTTTCAAATAGCCGCAGCCGCCGCCTCGTCAATAAAGATTGTTATTTTAATGGCGCAATTAATTCATAATTAAATTGCGTAATTGCCTGATTAACATTTGATATCGCTGGGCATTATGCGAAATTCAAATCAAATTTAAATTGTTACAATTTTTATTGCCTTTTGTTGTTCAACACGATTATGAAAGTAAATAGATTTCCGTAATTTAATTCTTTAAGTTTTGTCTTTGTTTTAAGCAGTATGACATAATATATATATTTATATATAATATATAATTAAAGTTATAAACTCAATAAAAAATAGTTATAATAGCATTATTCACTTAAGTCATAAATAATATATACCTACATGTATGTATATACATATTTTATTTATGACCTTAGCGTAGCGAATAAACAAATTTATTTTGAATGGAGATTTTAAAAACATTTATTTTATAATACATTTTAATATATTTATTATTTTACATTTAAACAAATTAAATTCCGAAACGAAAATAATATTATATAATATTATGTGAATGTACTAGATATATTTTGTAACCAAAAAATATAATATTTTGATCTTAAATATTTAAAAAAGGAAATTTGAATTGAATTTATCGTATAATTGATTATTATAGTCAAATTACATCAACCATTCATTTAGTTATTAATGCTTTGATTATTTATCAACAACCAATCAATTTTAGTGTTGATGGGAGAAACATAACTTAAACTAATTAATCTGTGACTTAGAATTGAAATCACTCAAGTCGTAAGCACTTCATATTAAATTTATTAGAAAACTAAACTGTTTCAAATAGTGTAAAATATGAAATGATGATTACTATATACATTATTAACTTATTACACACGTTGTACATATGAAGGGCCTAGCTAACCATGCTAATTAGTAGCTAGCCAAGGTGAAGTACCTGATGGAGCTGACACTCGACACTGACAGCGATAAATACGCTTCGTTTTTGGCTAACAGATTCAGCCAAGCGGCACATAATCAAAATTTCATTATCCCTGCGATGCGTTAAATCGCTTAAACATGCTAAAAACGTTAACACCCTCGCATCGCTTGACATCCTCTCCCCCGCCCCGGCCCCCTCTCCTCTTGATGTGTTGACAGTTGAGATTTTTCGTGCGGGGGCTGGCAGTCGATGCTGGTGCGAAATTTTAGTCAATAAACGTTATTGAGCCAAGGCGAGGGGTCGATGCATTGCCATGGGGTGGTTCGCCTTGCCAAGTAAATAAACCAACCCCCACAGCACACACACACACACAAGCACACATATACACAGCCAGATTTATGTACATGTTTATACATACAAACGCAATGCGGTTGTCAGTCAGTCATTTAGTCACAGCGGCTGTTGTGGCAATTGCGGCTGGCTCTCGTACGACGAGTAGACGGGTCGTATATAGCCAGCTAAACGGTTG